GCACATCCCCCTCCCCAGTATCTCTTTCTGGATCCTTGGCTTTAAAATGAAATCTCTAAAATAGCCTTATGTTATCCTGGGATGATTGAAGCTACAAGACAATATTACAATTACTCACCAGCGTATAAACTTACCTTTCTCCAGTCTGAAATAAAATAAATTAATTAGATCTCCCCATTCATAGGACCTTCACCTCAGAACATAAAATTACTGTGAGCACCTGAGATTGGAAGGTTTATGATAACGCTGTATTACTGTGTTTGTCACCTCTTAACAACAATTTGGGGCTATATGCATTCTCTGTTCTATTTCTCACATCTTCCACATTCCATTCATATATCTGTGATGAAATATGAGAGCCTGGTCTTTTGAGAAGAAGTAGATTGACTTCAATTGTTGGAGAGTATAACACACTTTTTTTTTTATGTGCTGCCTTGTCGTCTTTGAGCCCACATGGCTTCAAATGCCTGAATTTGAGTTCCTGTTCTCATCAGATATGCCCTTCATTACACCAGAAAACTCCCGCCAACTTATCCCTTCTCATCCCAGACATATGAATTCTATCTGATTCTCTGCGTAACAGGCTTTACCTTCCTGTTAACCTGCAAAATTATCCAAACACCCCAGTTACTAACTTCAGAAAACAGGGGAGATCGCATCCTTTTTTACTATAAAACCTGCCTCCACTTGTGGCTTACTCTGCTCCCAGGTGCAAATCTCCTGTGGTTCTATAAGGCATATAGTGCTGTTCTCCAAGGCCATGAGTGTATGTCATTAATAAACTGTTGTCAGTGTCATCTATCAGCTGTTAGGTATCATGTGTTTGATCATCATATACTCTTTAGAATGGAGGATTCCTCCTATACTGTTAAAGCACATTGGAGGCAATCAGAACAGAGGAGCAGATGAGATAGTTGGCTCAACCAAAACACTGATGTGACTCACCTTGCAAATATAATTCCTTCCTTCTCCCTGAAAAAGAATAATAGCTTGTGAGATGCTGAGTGCAAAGCATGGAGTAAGGATTCTGCTTCCTGTAAGAGAGCAAAGAAAATGGATAACTTACCAAGCTCTTTCATAAGTAATTCTCAAAAGGAAAGAAAATAACAAACAGATTTTACAGAAAAAAAATACACAAGGTTTATTTTCTAGTTTATATTACTAAACCATTCTGAATATCACTTCATGAAATTTTCCTGAGAATTTCTATGATCATTTGTTTTACTTCTATTTTTATACTAGTGAATTTTCTCCTTATATACGAGTCCCTTTTTGTCATGGAAGTCTTGGGCTCATATCTTGTTGGAGGTCTTGTGGTTCTAACTCAGTCTTATGTTGTCTTTGTGTTCCAATGAATGCCACCCATATACACAACCATGCTAATGAACTTATACATTCATGAATCCCACCCACCATGTCTAATCATAGATTTACCTTTAGGTTTACTTTATTCCTCTTTTTCTTCCTTGGCTTTTCATACTCTCCTCTTCTCCTGTTTTATTCTTTCTAGGCCAAAACCATGACAGCACCCATGCAAATCACAAGTATGGGGAAAATCACAGCAAATGCTACCTTCCAAGGAGAGGTCCTAGGGAAAAAGGGCTCTTACACAGGCTCCCAGAACCTGATCAAAATGCATACCAAGCAAAATTATCCCATCCCTAGACTCATAAATCCCCTACTTAATTGTATCCTACTTTCAAATTGAGCAACATTGACCCGGGATAGAGATGTTTCTCACTTTCTCTTTTCCAAAGAATCGATTCTTCATGGAGCAGGATCCTTCTCTCCTTGAGCTGTCTCTCACAATGAGGGATGCCTCTGTCTGGAACAACCCATCATTGTCTTGGGTCTCATCCTCAGAAAGAGATGGTATCTTTTCTGCCCTTCCATGCTTCCACTGAATCTCAGGCTGGGGAAACCATCCCTTGCCCATGCATATCAGTCTTATTCCTTCATCTTCTGGACCCACAGTGATAATATCAGGACCAGAACCCATGCCTGAAGAGGAAAGTCATTCATCTGAGACCTGGGTGGTTTTTGTTGTGAAGTGTCTAACATTATTTGGTGGCATCAGTGTTTCTCATTGGGCACAGTAACGTATTTCTAGGTGGAAGAAGATTTTTTTTCTCCTCCCATATGAGAAATGAGTAAATGGGGTTCAGAAATCACTACAGACTTGAAGCTGATACTAAAACTTTTATCAATCCTTTCATGTATCTCCTAACCAAGTATATCTGCAATTAGCACAATAGGATATAATAAAATTTGTGAATGCTGAATTCTTCCAGAAAAAAAACCAACTAAATATCTACATTATCTATATGTACCTATATATTAGATATAAATAGATAGAGCTATTCTTCTATGTCTCTCTATTCCATTTATTGGAGTCTCAAGTAAGATCATCTTTCTCAGTTTAATATGATTTAGGGTATCAGTTCCTTAAACAATTCCTCTTTGCCATTTTATCCATACCTAAATTCATCCTCTGAGTAGATACTATCTAAAGATAAAAGTAGCCAGGTAAAATGAGTCCATGAAGGAGCCAAGCTGTTTTTTGTTTGTTTTATAGAGAGATTTTTGCTATAGAGCACATGTGCTTGTCGGAGAGACAGAGAAGTAGACCGAAAGTGAGAAATTGCCCCCTGAGGGAATGGTTACCTTGTAATTTCTTCTTCTCTATTCTCCTCTCAGGATTTTGGGCACTCGCACAAATGCAACTGGAGTGAGTTTTAAACCATCGGGTCTGAGATTTGATCTGCGGTCGAATTCATGAGAGTCTAACCACCTGCTGGTTCCCGTTTTTTAATATTTTTACCCTCACCTATTTATTTTCACTTTCTACCACCTCTTCTCTTCTTCACCTCATTACAAATTGGGTCTGCAAGTGGATTCATGTAACTTGAACTCATATCAAACCAAAAAATCAGCAGAGGGCTAAAAGATCCCACTACCTCCTTGAAAAAAATGACTATTCTGACTTCTAAGACTATATATTATTTTATTAATTTAATTTAAATTTTTTTAAGTTTTTACCATGGGTGTGTGCACTAGTTAGGGAGAGACAGATAGAGAAAATTAGAAGTCAGCCTCCCCCCACTAGGGGGGATTCTTCCTCCCATAATTCCTGTCCTCCATTCTCCTCTCAGGATTGTTGGCATTCATACACATGCACCTAGTGTGATTTTCAAGTTACCAAGTCTGGGACTTGAACCATGGCTGGCCATGTGGGAATCCACTGCCTTAACTACTGCAACTCCTGGAGGTCATTTTTATCTTTAATAAACATATTACTGACACTCTCTTGTCTGGATAAATCCTACTCCAGGTTCTCAGATGTGAAAAATACATCAACAACACCTCTTTTCACTAAAAAAAATATATATATAGGTAATAATGTCTACTACCAGACTCTGACCTTTCAGGGCCAACACAATTCTGGAAATCAGAAATCAATTTGAAAGACAATTTATCTCAAAATTGCCTGAGGGAGTTGCCAACTTTCTTAAACATGGGAAATAAATGTGTGAATGAAACTGGTCCTGAGCAAAATGGAGCTAAGATCCTGGGAAACAAACTTCCAGTAGACAAAACGCTTTGCACCATGATTGAAGTTGCAACCTAAAAGAAATTATACTTACCTTAAGACAAAAAGAGCAAGAATTCCCATTTCTGAGCACATAAGTGGCTGTACTAAACAAAGGTTAACTGAATGAAAGATAAGTGTCACTTTATAATCGAAGCGTTGCTTCTAAAGGTCAAGCTTGTCTTTATTACTATGAGTCAATTAGCTGATATGGGAAAGATCCTGAAAAATATGTTAGTCATGAAACTGGGAAAATCTGGTATTTTTTCGTGAGGGTACTAACGAGGGAGCACAGTAAGTGCTGAGAAGACTTTGTGACTATTTCCTTCAAGATGTAATGATTTGGCTTCTTCTAAAGCTGCATATAAATAAAATGGATAAAATGAATCTATGATGTATATAGTGTCCTGTAACATCAATTGAGAAGTATTACTGTAAGTTAGATCTAACATATGCAAAGAAGTTTATCACCATTATAAAAAGAAACATATTTCCAGAGAGTTTAACCTTTGGAAATTGAAGTAGTATGATAGTGTGGAAGAAGAGGGCAGATAAATCACTAAAGCCACATAGAGAATTTAGAATTAGGTCTTCTTTTTATGAGAAATTTATGGAAAATATATTTGTAAAATGAATGAAGATTATCTCCATTATTAGTTTGTGGTATCGATGTCACTGAATACACACTGAATAAGTATTTTGAGCATATATAAAACTTTATGCCAAAGCAACAATTCTGTGGATTGAACTTTTAAATGTAAAAAGTAAAACAATAAAAAATAGATAGTAATGGATTGCAATTACAAATAATTAACTACATAAAAAACTCACAATTATAAAACTGTGCAAAAAAATAGTAAGACTTAAGAATTTGTGTAAGGGGACCAGCAGTTAGCGTAATGGCTATGTCGCTGGACTCCCATGTAGTTGACCGCGGTTCCCGGACCCAGTGGCTTAAACAACGCCAGGTGTGTGTGCGTATGTGCACAAGATCCAAGAGGAGAAAGGAGGAGAAGGAATTGCAGCATGGTCATCCCCCCTGGGGGGTGATTTCTCGCTTTCTATCTCTCTGTCTCTCTCTGTCTGTCTGGCAAGCGCATGCGCCCTATAGCAAAAACCTCTAAAAAAAATTGTGTAAGTAAAATTTTAAAAACAGGCAAGAACAAGGTATTTAAGGGACACATAAATGGATGATTGTCGGTTAGTGATAGCATGTATAATATTTTCAACTGCACTGGTGTGAAAGGTATTCATGTTGGGTAAATTCATTTTACAAGGTGTAGTGATGTACAGTGATTGAATGAATAAAATAAATTAAAATTAAAAACAGGCAAGGCAAATATATGAGGTTAAAAGTCAGAATAGTCACTATCCTTGAGGAAATAAATGACAGGTGAAAAAAATTTTTTGCCTGGATTCTAATTGTATTCTGTTTAAAGATCTGGTGACTTGAAATTCACACCAGACACACATATGTGTGTATGCCCAAGATCCTAAGAGGAGAATGGAGCAGAAAGGATTGCAAACAAGGCCATTCCTCCTGGGGTAGTGGCCTCACTTTCTCTCTCACTGTCTCTCTCTCTCTTTATCTCAGTTCCCTTTGTAGGCAGTCCATACACCCTATAAAAAAAATCTTTTAAAAAAGAGTATATATATCTGTCCTTTTATATTGTGACTTGGTGAAATCCAACAATTTCTCATAGATTTGGGTTAACAGAATTCTAAAGCAATTAAGATGGATTAATTAGGATGAACTGAAGTGACTTTTATCCAGTCAAATCCCTTCTTCCACTGACTTGTCTGTATACATAAAATAGCAAAAACATTAGTCTATTTAAATATTCTTTTTGAAATTTTATTAAACATGTAAACTCAATGGGTTGACATTTCCTAACAAAGAAGAGATTTGACATGTGCATGAATTAATTCCCCTCCTGAAAAACAACTGTGACAGGGACCAGCAGTTGGCGTAATGGCTATGTTACTGGACTCCCACGTAGTCGACCGCAGTTAAAGTCCTGGACCCGGTGGCTTAAACTCATGGCAGCTGTGTGTGCGTGTGTGCCCAAGATCCCAAGAGGAGAATGGAGGAGAAGGGATTTCAGCATGACCATCCCCCTTGGGGAGTGATTTCTCGCTTTCTGTCTCTCTGTCTCTCTCTGTCCTTCTGGAGAGTGCACACACCCTATAGCAAAACCTCTCAAAATAAATAAATACATAAATAAAATTGTGACCTAAACTCAGACACCACTGCAGAAAAGCCACACAATTTCCATGAAGACAACTCTTTTGGAAAAGGCTAACAGAAAAAGAAGAAAATATCTCAAACCAACATGTTTGTCTAACTTCAACAGATAACATCTGCCATGTCTCCTGCCTTTCTGCCTTACTCTTTCTCAGATAACAGGAAACACCCTGGTGGGAGTAAACAGAGCATGGACTATATCCCAGAAATGTCTATGCCTTCCTCCCCTCCGAGACCCTGACTCAAATCTGGAACTTTCACTCTATATACAGGTTTTGATAGCGGGAAAACGTCTGATTCCTTCCTATCCAGGACATATTTCCTTTTACCTCTACACTTAAATGATAGTTTTGTTGTATATGAATGTAAAAAACTGGGTTTGATTGTTTCCCAGAAATGAATGTTGAATGATAGATGTGTGATAGGACTTGATTGCTTTAATTTGTTCAAAATATGTTTCCCACACTCTGAAAACTTTAAGGTTTTTGTTTCTTTATCCATGGAGCTCTAAAATTTTACAAGAATATGTATAAAATGACTAATATTTTTCCTTTGTTCATTCAATTTATTATAAAATGCTCTTTCAGACCAGGAACTAAGTTTTGTCCTTAATTTCCTTTTCTTTCCAGAAATCCTGTGAGGTGAATGTTAAAGTTCTGGATCTAGTGTGCTTAACTCAACTTACATTTGCCAAGTTTTAGTTCTTTGGATTAATGTATTATATTCTGGAAGAATCCAGCAACTTCAGTTTTCTATCCCAGTATTTTGATTTTCAGGGGTGTCTACTGTAATATTTGAATGTTCCATTTGATTCTATTTTAAGTCAGATTTTCCCTTCTGATAATGCCAGATTTTTTTCCCCTAATTCTGGATCCCCTACAAATGAATTCTTCTTATTACACTTCATATTTTTATTAATTATTTTAATTATCCAGGTGGCATTGGCACTTGTCAAAGAGAAACAGAGAGAGAGGGAGAGGGAAAAAGCACTTTGCAGTGGGTGCAGTCATGTAGTAATCTCTTCTCCATTTTCCAATCGTATTTGGATTTGGGGCACACACACATGCACAGTGTGTTTGTTAAGCCTCCAGGCCCACGATTCTAATCATGGTCAGCATGTGGGATCCAGCTCCCTTTTACATTAGGTCATGGGGTCAGTTCATAGTTTTATTAAAAAAAAGTCTTTTTGATATAAATTATTCTTTACTATTACATGTTTGAGAAGGTTGAAAATTGAAGATAAGCATAATTATAGGTAGAAACACCCATATTTGTATCATACAGAACAAATATCCTGTCATTGTGTGTGTGTGTGATTTTAATGTCTCTTTCTATATTTCTTAAACAAATAGAATCAAACTATTAATAGTGTTTTAAAAACTGTCCTTTGGATTCAATAATATTTTGTTCATAACTTTCCTTCTCTTTCTCCTTTCACATCTTTGTTTCAAAAACACCAAATTCACTCAAAATATTCTCTAGTGGGACCATCAGATAACTTAATGATTACGTCACTGCACTCTCACATAGTCAACCGTAGTTCAAGCCCAAGACCCAGCAGCGTGAAACATGCCAGACACATGAGTGCGTGCCCAAAAACCAAGAAGAAATTAGAGAAGGGATGGTGGTAAGGCCATCCCCCCCGGGGGAGGGGGTGATTTCTCACTTTCTGTCTCTTTAAATCTCTCTGTCTGTCTAGTGAGAGTGTACATGCCCTATAGCATAAATCTCTCAAAAAATTACATACTGATTACTCAACTCTATTCAAACAATTTTCTACGATTGAGGAAAATATTTAAGGTATGTGTATTAATTTTTCAAATTTGCTTTTCTAGCTTTGTTGCATATGGATACTAATTTATTTCATTTTGAGATAGAATATACATGCATATATTGTAAATTTCAAAGTAAATAAAAGAGGAAAGTAAATAAAAGAGGAAAGCTTTCCCATTTCCCCTTTATTTCTCTCTTTCCACTCCCATAACACATAACTACACCATGGGATGCTGTCAAGAGTCTAAATGAGCCTGGAGGACCTCACAGAGGAGGCCTGCTCAGCACAACATGAAAGGGTTTGGGTATAGAAAGAAGGACTTGCCTGAGGTAGTGAGGCAACCCTAAACAGAAATGCATAATATTAAGTGGTAGTGTAATCATACAATGCAATATTATTTTGCAATCATAATAGTAAACAAAATAGTCATACACAAAACAGCTGATCAAAAATATTTTTTTTGGAGAGACAGAGACAGAAAGTGAAAAAATCACCCCCCCCCCCAGGGGGAATGGCCATGCCACAATCCTTTCTCCTCCATTCCTCTGGGGATCTTGGGCATGCACACACACTCATGCCCAGTGTGAGTTTAAGCCACCAGGTCCAGGACCTGAACCACAGTCGACTACATGGTCCAGTGACTTAGCCATTACGCCATCTGCTGGTCCTGATAAAAAAATATTTTGTTCAGCCAAAGAAGTCAAACGCAAATGTATACAAACAGTATGATTCTTTTTATTATTTTTGAAGTTTATATTAGCAACAATAGCTATCATGTTTTATATCAGAAAACTTTTTTTTTTCAAGAATGGATTGACTGGCAATAAACATGAAGGAAATTTTAATGAAATGGAAATATTCCACATCTTGATCAAGATAGTGGTTACATTAGTATAAAAATTTATAAAAGCACCTTGAAATGTACATTTCAAAACCATGTGTTGCCTTGTATGCAAATTATATCTTAATAATTGTATTTTCTTAAAAGCTAAATGCAAATTCTCTATGGTTCCACTTAATACTCATTGGAGAAAATTCGTAGGGTTGTTAGCATAAAAATAGAGTAATTGTAGATCTGAGAGGAGAATAATTGTGGCATGGCCATTCCACTTGGAGGGTGATTTCTCGCTTTCTGTCTCTCTGTCTCTCTCTGTTTCTCTTGCTAGAGGATGTGCCCTATAGCAAAAACCTCTCAAAAAAAAAAAGAAAGAAGAAGAAATGTAGATAAACTAACAGAATTAGTCCAGGAATAAGATGAACCCATCTTGAAACACCTGCAGGAATTAAAGTGAACTTTTCAGACCCTGAGTAGCCTATGGCTTTTGTATTAGAGTTCCATTTTGAACCCAGTGACTACTTTACCAATTCAGTCCTGACAAAAACCTACAGAATGAAGCAAAGCCAGTTGAGGCTGATCCCTTTTTCTTTGAAGGCCCAGAGATGGTTGATTGTGATGGGTGCACCAATGAGGGAAAGAAAAGAAAAAAAAAAAATGTTGCAGCTAAAACCATCAAGAAAAAGCAGAAGCACAAGGGCCAGGGCACTGTGAGGACTGTCACTAGCCAAGTGCACCTTGCGTCATTCTTCCACTCCTTCAATCCACTGAAAGCACCTGGGATGGAGAGTCACTGGATAAAGATTCTAAATTCATGATAGCCTTTTGAAATCGGACACTTCTTCAAAGAATGGATTGTCCCACGGGTTGTGCTCTAATTCACTGGGAATGCCATAGAGGATGACAACAATTTTGAAGAAAGAGAGGAAGGAAAAGATGAAAACAATTCTGAAATTAACTCTGAGGAAGAACCCAGCCAGCCAGTGGAATACAAACAGCAATAAGAAGTGAGCGGCCCTGTGGGGTGGTGGCTGCCTGGTAGACCAGCTGTCAGGACTCCCAGCGTGCAGGCAAGGGCCTTGGTCCTTGCCACAGCACAATTGTATTGACAGTGCTTATTCCATCTAACTCATATTCTAGTGCATGGTTTCACTTTCATTTTTTTCCCTTATTATTTTGCTTAACTTATACAGTGGCAAATAAAGTGCATTTTACTAAGAGGAAGTTCAGTTCCAGCACCCTCTACGACCCTGGTGCCTGCAACTCTCGACTTGACCAGGCCCTGCCCGCACCCTCTACGACCCTGGTGCCTGCAACTCTGGACTTGTCCAGGTCCTGCCTTTTGGAAGAGTCCCTCAATATATGTCGGGAAAGGGATGAGGGGTTACTCAGCAAAAGAGCAGAGATCTAGTGATGCTGTTCCAGGGCCTCTAGAGCCTATCCTACCACACCTGCCATTGGACTGAATTCTTTTGTTTGAAGAAACCCACCCACTGTTTCCAGCCTATCAAACTACTGGGTAGGTAAGCTGCTTCAACTGTCATGTTCTCATCATCTCTGAAAAGCCACACGAGTAGGGTAAGATCATGTTTTTCTTAAAATGTTATTTTTTTCTTGTGTTTTATTTTTCTAGGCATTATGGTGGGGGTTGTGGCACACGGTGACTAACGTGAGAGCTTTAGTGCTTCACCTTCATATTTATTTATTTATTTATTTATTTATGCTTGGAAGGACATTGAACTCATCCTTATAGTCCTAGCTGGGGTGAGGCCTGTGCAGAAGAAACTGCGTCGTTTCCCGCTGCGGCAAGTGAGACAGGAGCTTGTTCTCATGACACAGACACCACATGTTGCTGTTGGAATGTGAAGGTTGTCACCAGAGAAGTCAGATTTGGCATACTTCCGGATGGATAAAGTTGGCAGAGAAAACTTCCTTAGTTCAGCATGTGAATGTCAGGTCTTGCTTCTTAGTAACTCCCATTTTTGGGTCCCACCATTCATCCTATCTTAAAAGCCCTGGGTTTGGTGTATCTGGTTGTCGGCTGGTGTGTAGGGTTTCCAAGTGTGGGATAGCTGAGGACTGCCATGTGCACACTGTGACTAGCCATGCAGAGAGTGCTCAGCCTTACCTTATGACTGATTTGTAACTGAATATGGTGTTTTCAATTTATACAGAATAGTTAAGACTAGTCAATTAAAGAGGTGAAACATTTAAAAAAAAAAAACTGTACCTCATAAGGATGTAAAATTGTTATATGTAAATCATAAATTATAATTTTATAAACCTAAATGCACTCATTGGGTCTAGAAAATATTTAGGTAGGATCTCGGTGTCCCTTTGGTAAGATTATGAGAGACCCAATACTAATGTTTATGCAATAGCTATTTGTGTTCCTGATGATCTATAAACTGTGTAAAACATGAATGAACATTAATTAAACCCAGAAAGAATGTGAAATAGAAAAAGTCTTTCCAGTGCATCTTATGCCTGGAACTCTAAAACTGTGTTATTATTTCTTCTCTACTATTGGGAGCATGAAGGTCCTTAGAGCACAGAGCTCTGAGCTTATTATTCCCTGCACAGCTCTGCACATGCCCTCTAATGTCAATAATGGTACTGCACCAAAAATTAAAAAATAAAATAAAAACGAAAGAAAAGAATGCTTTAGGTTTTATTCTCTACATCAATTACCTTAGTGACTTGAACATCGAGGTGACCCACAGACTTTACTGTCATACAAAAAGCTAATTTCCTCTCCCTAAATCATGTGGTTTCATGCCTTCGAAGGTGGAAGAAGGTAGCTACACTGAGCATTTTCATCTAACTCAACATAGGCACACCTGAGAGTTCCTATAATCTTTTAGTTAAGTCCAGTCCAAAGTTCCCTGGGGTGGCCATTACTACTTCCACTTTCAAAATAGCTGAAGAGCTGGAGGGACGCTATGACTCTCCTCCTTAAACTTACTCTAGGAAAGGTATTCAAAACTCAGAGTCTTTTTACTTCGCTGTTTATTCTGCTTCTCAAGAATATCCCAATCCTGCAATAGGCCAGAAAGCCGCTGACCTGAAGCCACATCAGTGGATGCTGACTACATGAACAACCAGGTGCGAATTGTCTCTGGAGCTGACTGTGTAAGTACACCTAGGAGACCAGGAGCTTTCCATCACATTCGGGATCCATCCAGATGGTGAGAGAAACTATGTGATGATGTGCAGGGATCCATCCAGATGGTGAGAGAAACTATGTGAAAATGAGCAGAGAGTTGTGGGTTCTTCAGAAAGAGAGTCTTGAGATAGGGCCACATGGCGAGAAAAGCTCCCTTCCCTGTAGTGAGGTGAATCACAGAAGTATTTGTAGTAAATACATAGATAAATGAGGAAGACTGAAGATGGATTGGCTGAGGTATCTGGGACTAGTTCTGTGTCTGACTTCATTTCTCAGCAGTAAATGCAGGATTTTCAATTTCAAGAGAGCCTTGGCAAGAAGATGAATCCCTAGAAGAACATGAAGGCATACAGAGCACCAGAGAGTAGTTACCAGAGAAATCTGTTGGTTTTAAGAACAAAAAGAAGAAGGAAAAAAAAACCACTGGGAGTGAGTGGGAGGTGGTATTTGTCTCAAAGTCTGTGAGGGGGTGACAGTTAACCGATAACACTGGTGTACTTGATTATATATATATGACTTAACTAATATGCACTATCTGCATGCTAAAAGAGCCATATGTATGCTGTAAATATGTTCGGTGATTAAATATAAATTTAAAAAATAATTATTATAAAAAGTAAAAACACTGTGTAAAGCTTTTAACAGGAGCTGTTTTCCTAAGAACTTTTACTCTCCTGGCATTCTCATCACTTTCTGTTACAGAGCTTCTCATCATCAGAGTGAATGCTTCCATCTGCTCTCAAGAAGATGGAGGGTTTCCCCAACTTCTCTCCAGTTGGCTTTCTCCTCCTTTTTCTCATTCACCAGATGTCCACACCATGCTCAGCAGGTCAGTGGTCAGTGCTCCGTCTCATTCATTTTATGAATTGTCTTGTTTTCTGTGACTCCTCTCATAGAAATGAAAATACTCATTCACAAGTCAAGAAATCTCCCTTGCACCAATGTCCCTTACTTATTTGGGTAGTCCCTATGAAACCCATAGCTACAATATATTTATCCAAATCTTTAATGAGAATAGGTCACTGTAACCAGTTTACTTTCTGATGTAACTGTTAAAATACACTTTGCTCACACTGCTAAAGTAGCCTAAGTTTGAGTACAAAAATTTGGATTCAGGATTTCTGAGCTCTATTTAGACATGGTCTTGAAAAAGTCACTTGTTTTTTTCTGAAACATGAGTCCCTCTTTCATAAAATAAAAGAGCCCCACAAGATGAAGATTTCAGACTCAAGGTCTGGAGAAAAATAAGATATGAGATCACAAGAATGATTTTATTACTATTATATCTTGAATTTGATGTCTATTAGATAGTGAATTTCAAAATTTTTGATGTACATACAAAAGTTTTGCAAGAATTGGTTCTATAGAAATTCTCTCCTATGTGCCCGCACACACACATTAATGTTTATTACATGATTATTTGCATTAATAATAAGTTTATAAGTTGTAAACAATATAAATATTCCCCAATATAGGACAATATTAAACATGATGGCATAGGCAGCACTAAAAGAAATTGGGTATAACTGGGTATATATAGTAAATGACTAGAAATACATTGTTGAAGAAATTGACATATAATGATACCATTTTTCTGAAATGATGATTTTTTTCCCCACTACATTGTGGCTACACATAATGTCAAATAGCTTTTGTAAATTAATTGCTCATCCAAGTTCTCCAGGCCACTTAGGAAATGTATTAGTGAAGAAAAAAATCCTAAGCTTTCATAGCTACTTAAAAACAAATAAAAATATCTATGACACAGTAAAATTCTACTTTTCACCTTATAATAAAACACTATTCCCTCACCCCTAATGCAAAACAGTAACCCAAATCTCAATGTCAGAAATGTCCACATACCCTCCTAGAGCAGGGTGCTAGGGGATCAAGGAATGGATGAAGAGAAAAATACCTTCCCCCCCTCTTCCTCATAAAAAAGACAGTTCCTATTACTTAGTGAAGTAAGCCAAGATATGAAAGAAAGATATTGTATGTATCCACTTAATATATACCAACTATCCACACTCTATGGTAGAGATCGTAACATTGGAGGACATAAAAGCAGTGAAAATAGTTTTGGAGGATAAGGCAGTGTGGAATGAAAGTATTTCATGTTGGGTAAAGTCTTTCTATGAGCAAAATAAAAAGTAGTGATTGACTGTTTAAAAAATAATTGGAGGGACTAGCAGTTAATGTAATGGCTATGTCGCTGGACTCCCATGTAGTCGACCGCGGTTCAAGTCGGATCCGGTGGCTTAAACTCATGCACATGCGTCCTTTAGCAAAAAAAACTCTCCAAAAAAAATGGAATAATAATAATGATAATGATGATTGGGAAAAATAATGAAAAGCTATTGGATGAAGAAATGGGGATTTTAATGTCTCTGTATTGACTGATACGCATGGTATTCCTTCTGGAAAAAGTAATGTAATACACTGTAAAGTTATATGTGATTCCATGTAATACAGACAAGATTATGATGATAATAAATAAATAAATAATAGTTCCTTAATGTTACATTGTCATGACTATCAGTTAATACATTTTATATAAATTTTGTTGAACTTACATATAAAGGCTATTTGAAAATGCATAGAGAAAACATGTCTTTTTAAATGCCAAATCAGCACCACTTATTATTCTTAGAGAAATGAATAAAATGTGTTGGTAGGGGATGAGGAGAAGAGAGCCGAAAAAGACACACACACACACACACACACACACACACACCTATATATTACATTTGTTTTGATTTTTTTGCAATAGGGCATGTGCATCCACCAGAGAGAGACAGAGAGAGAGAAAGTGAGATATCACCCCCCAGAGAGTGCTGGTCATTTTATAATCCCTTCTCCTCCAGTCTCCTCTGGGGATTTTGGGATTGGAACCATCATCCACAGAATTGGAGTCCAGCACCATAACCACTACACCATCTGCTGACCCCTATATATTACATTTTTAAAATTTTAAAACATATATTACCTTTTTAGAAAATAATGCAAATAAGAAATATGGAAATGCAATGGGTTTTCTATCTCACCTCACCACACTAATCACCCCACGTTGTCTCTGATTTTGTGCAGTGTCCAGGTTTTCTGTGAAGGGACCAGTTGAGCCCATCGTGGCCCTGCTAGGGGCAGACGCCACTCTGCCCTGCCAGGTGTCCCCTGAGCAGAGTGCAGCACACATGCACATCCGGTGGTACCGGACCCAGCTTTCCCCCGCTGTGCTGGTGGTCCAGAATGGACAGGAGCAAGGCGCCGAGCAAATGCTGGAGTACCGTGGCAGGACCAAGTTGGTGCGAGACTCCCTCAGCAATGGGGCAGTGGCTCTGCAGATACAACATATCCGGGCCTCTGACCACGGCCAGTATCGGTGTTATTTCAAAATTGGTGACATCTCTGAAGAGGCCATTGTGGAGCTGAATGTTATAGGTATGTTAACTTATCACAGAATATAACCACGGAGGGGAGGGGTGGCAGGGGACAGACCTCTGGGTTCCTGACCTGGCACTGTTCTTGATCTTCAATATGTTAATCTGAGACTTTACCTTGCAGAATGCCCATTTCCTGAAGTATACAGTTCAGATAAGACTACATTCACTTTTAAGTACCAAAGGAATAAAATTTCTGAAGATGTTTTGACATCCTAAGAGAATATTTATTCAGTAGCATCACTAGTTTAGATAAGTACTGAACTTCAAACATTAATTTTTACCAAACAAGAAAAGAAAGAGAGCTAAAAGAATTGATCTCCCTTTCTGTTTTTAATTGCCTGTGTTATTTTCTCTTCCTAGAATGACCCTAAAGTTCTTTTAGTCAATGGAAATGACAAAAGCAATAAGTTGATTTTAAAACTTAATTATGAAGACCAGCAGATGGAGTAATGTCTATGGACTCCCACGTAGTGTGACCATGGTTTGAGTCCTTGACCTGGTGACATAAAACTCACACTGGGTGCGTGTGCGTGCATGCCCAAGATCCCAAGAGGAGAATGGAAGAAAAGGGATGGCAGCATGGCCATCCCCCTTTCTCACTTTCCGTCTCTCTGTCTCTCTCTGTTTCTCCAGTGAGCACACGTGCCCTATAGCAAAAATATATCTCTAATTTTAAAAAAAATCTTAATTATTAATCATCCTAATTCTGACCTCAGAGCTCCAGTTTACTCATTGGTCTACTGAAAGGAAGTTACATCTTTAGATGCAGGGACTCCTGGGTCCTGAGGACCACAGGCCTCAGGCACACCCCTTCTCTCCTAGGACTGGGCTCTGCCCCTCACGTTTACATGGCAGGGGTAGAGGAAGATGGGATTCGAGTGCTGTGTTCCTCGGATGGCTGGTTCCCCAAGCCCACCGTGAAGTGGAGAAATATGGCAGGAGTGAAGCTACCATCCCCCCCTGAGTCTCAGACCCAAGACGGAGATGGGCTTTTCCGTGTGGAGGCATCTCTTGTGGTCACAGACAGCTCCCTGGGCAACGTGACCTGCACCATCCAGAATCCCCTCTCCGGCCAGGAGAAAGCAGCAGCTATCTTCCTCCCAGGTCAGTGAGGCATAAGCCCCAATGGTGTGTGGAAAAGGAAGAAAGGAGAAAAGGAGGGCTGAAGTGAGCCTAGGGAAGAGGGTCAGCCTTCCTCAAGATTAGTCTCTAACTGTATCTCAATACCCCCACACAGAGCCCTTCTTCCCCAGGATGAATCCATGGAAGGCAGCCCTGGCTGGGACACTCCCTGTGTTAGGGATCCTCCTCATTGGGATCAGTTACTTTGGCTGGAGAGAACATCAAGCAAAGGAGGAAGAAATAACAAAAAAGGAAAAGGAAGCTGAGGAAAGAGATCAGATGGTGAAGGAAAAGGAAGAAGCACTTACAACCAAAGGTAAATTGAGACAGCAGGGCTTATCAGAGGATCATGGAAAAGCTGGGGCTACGTGTTGTGTGGGGTGGATGGAAAAATCAAAGACTGGGAAAGAGCCACACAAGAAACTCAGGGTACTAAGAATTCCTCAGACCCGGAAGCCTATTGTAGAACAGAAAACCAGGCTGGGGACTGGAAGGTCAGTGGGCAATGGTAGTGTATGTGGCTCCTTAAATGGCATCATGTTTGTTCATGCCCCTGGGCCTGTGCTGCTGTTTCTCCTTGTGTAAATGTCACTCCTAAGTTCTCTTCCTATTTATCATTCAAAAAGGTTTAGAAACACCTAAGAAATTCTAAACTCCTGTGATTATGGGCACTCCTGCTGTGCTCATTGCACGTCCCAATAACATGTGACAGAAACCAATAAATCAGTCCCCCCAGAGGGGGTAGGTATGCACCAATCCCTTCTCCTCCATTCTCTTCTCAGGATTTTGGGCATATATGCACACATGCCCAGCATGAGATTTAAGCCACTGGGTCCAGGACTCAAACCGGTGTCGACGCTGTGGGAGTCCAGTGATGTAACCATTACACTATCTACTGGTCCCGACTAATCTTTCTCATCTATTTAACTTCTGGACCTTTGAGAGAAGGCCAATCTTAAGTCATTTAGCTACTTCCCAAACTCAGGGGCAATTAAAACCTAATTTGATAGATTGTATGTCTCCTTCTCTTTCAGCAAACCTCACGGAAGAGCTGGGTAAGTCTTGCTTCTTAGTATGCCTTATATGGGCTCTGTTTTCCCTTTTTACACCTCTTATGAGTCTTTCACTGAATGTTGTTTCTTTCAGAATCCCGAAAGGCATTATACAAAGAAGGTAAGAGATTCTGTGTTTTCCACACCAGTTGATGTCCTGGTGCCCAATACTTTCTCAGCTCCCTCTCCTAAGAGCAAGTGTGCCCAACCCCCAGGCAACAGATGGGGACCAGTCCATGGCTTGTTAGGAACTAGGGCACACAGCAGAAGGTGATGACTGGCAGGCAAGCCAAGCTTTATCTGTATTTACAGCCACTCCCCATCACTCACATTACCATCATGAAACTGGTTCCTGGTGCCAAAATATTGGGAGTCAAACTGCCTTAAAGGAAAAGACTAAAATATGTAATGGCTATTGAAAGAGAAATAAGAGGAAAAAAGAGAAATGTGGGGTCACAGTTTAATGTGTAACTTTGCTTACCTGGATTTGTTCTGTTTTAGATTGGAAAAAGGCTCTGCTATATCCTGGTAAGTAGTTCCTTGGTCTTTTCTCTTGACAAACGCTTCTGGTGTTGTGAGCACAACAAGTAGAGAAATATACATACCCACAGACATGCACAGACTTGTCTACATGAAGAGAAAATTTATTTGGTACCATGTATGGTATTTTGTGTTTGATTTGCAGCTCAAATAACCATTTTCCAGGTATAGGAGAAATAATTTCTAACCGGTAGATTCCACATCATGACTGTGGTAGGACTCAACAGGAGTTGTTAGTCCATTTAATATGGAGCAGGAAGGGGTAGAACTCAAAATGATGAGATTTAAGAAGAATAAAGGATACACTGTTGTGTTAGCATTTCTAAACTGAAAGGAAAGTTTTTAAAAGCAGATAATATAGTTTACATTTAAAAAGTCAATTATTATTTTAATTGTTTTACTGATGAAAAATAAAGAAAGTGAAGTTCAATAGATAGGGACATACATTTAAAAGGCTTGAAAAATAATCTTTCAAAATATTTTAAGTTCAGTTATAAGAATATGTTTGGGCTGGTGGCAGAGGGGATTGATTATTTTCACACCATCTAATATCTGTGTCTATATATTGTATAGGTTTTTGTGTATAATGTAGAATTGGACTTTATAAACATACTAGATCATTCCTTAAACATATATTTGTGCAATTTTTAAATGCTGTGCATTGTGCTAGGTGTTGAGGCATAAGCCATTTTCTTTGACTCTGTGAAGGAAAAAAGCTAGAAACTGGGCAGATACATACAACCTGCTGTACCCTGGGAATTAGCTCCTTGGTCTTATTTCTCAGATTGTGGAGATCCAGGAACCCTCCCAAGGGTTAAAGCTGGATAAGCACTTTACACAGAGCCGGTTTGAAACGTTTCTGCGGTTCTCAAGGAGAGAGTAAAGTTCTAAGGGTGAGGACACCTGAGTTTCAGTTGCAACTCTGCCAAGTATAGCTGAGGAATTGAGTCATTTTCTTTTTCTTGATCTTAGTTTCCTGAAATCTAAGATGAAGCAGATAGAATACATGTTCTCCTTAAGAAATATATTCATAGATTCTACACATCAGTGTCAAATTCTTGCTGGAGGGCAGTTCAGTGAGAAACTACAGTGGAACTATAGTGTTACTCTTGTCAAAAATTATGGATAAATCCTTACCTGAAGAATCCCAAGATTCTTCAAGAATATCCAATTTTCAAATAAAATCACCCTTCCCATTATGAGCAAAGTGGCCCCAGTAAGGACAAAATGTATTTTTGTTCTACCAAGGACTCTGACTCTAGAGAAAGATATTTTAAAATCTGATTATGTGGTCCAAAATAACAAGGAACCATCTAAATGCCTCAGCAAGACACACACACATACACACACACACACACACACACACACACACACACACACACACATTTTAACATGTGCACAAAGTGTATCTGGATAAAACACAAGGCAGTGTTAATATTGGTTGTGTCTAGACACAAGAATATGTGAAGGTATTATATGACATGCCATAAATAAGAATTAAATATACAAAATATTATGGCTAATCTCAATAAAAGTACATATTTTTTCCCTCAGAATTTCTATTTCTTTTTAATTTGGTTTTGCTGGGTGTCTCAGTTCCTGCATAACAAATGATCCTCCAATTTAGTAGCTTGTAGGAGTAATTTTTATCATATTCATTGATTTTATAGACCAGAATTCTGGCAGGTCAAGTGGACTAGCTTGTCCTGTAGGGTGATGTCTGGAGCCTGGTTTAGGCAGCCTGCCTAGCTGGGTAGGCTCAATGGCCAATAGCTGCAGTCATCCGGAGGCATGTTTAATCACTTACCTGGTGATTGATTCCGGCTGTCAGCTGGGAGTTTAGTGGGGTTTTATAGAGCATGGGGGGCCTCAGAGTAGTCAGACTCCTTTTTGTTTGTTTGTTTGTTTTATTTTTTTACATTCAATCACTGTGTATCACTATAGCATATCAAATGAATTTTCTCATCATGAATATATTGCCTATCAGTCTGGTCAAAGAACTTACCACATATCAGCCGTAAATTTTGTCCCTCCTCTGAAAGGTCATAAGCTTGACAAACTTCAAGATAAAATAAAACAAAAGGATATGTTATAGCTCCCATTCTTGATGAGAAGGACTGCAGAGGGTCTTAGGAGACACTGTAGAGGCACCATGATCACCAGGCAGCCTGTTCCACTTCCACGTATTCTCCAAACCTGGCTTAGGCTGGAGAAACACTTTCCTTTGCTTCAGGCTGAATTGGGGGACAGACCCCAACCTGAGACAGACCAATGATTGGCATACCACTTACCCTCTAGTTTCTGGATACTACCAGAGTTTGAGGAGCTTAGCAGAGGAGCTGAGGAGATGGGAGGCAAATGTAATGACCCAGGGAAAGAAGTGTCTTTTCTTTTCCATTTCCTGGATGTGTTTTTGTTCTTGCCTCAGTCTGTGTTGTTCTTTTTCAGACTGGAGGAAGGAATTGTTCCAGTCTGGTGAGTGATTTTTGTTTATCTTTTTGTCTCCCTTCTAACCTGCCCTCTGACATCTTTTCCCCCTCCTAACACTATCTCTTAGTAAAAATACAGAAACAACATTATTTTGGTAAAGAGAGATAAAAAAAAAGAATGTCATTAAATGTTAGCTCAAACTGAAAAAATACTGCTAGGTTTAGCTACTTTTATTGTATTTCCACCTTCATATATTGACTCAGCTTTCTTGTCTGTGTGATCTGCTTGGTTCTGATAATAGAAATTAACATAG